TGTGTAAACCTCATTTTATTTATAATAAGGTGCTTGTTTTTCCTATTTTTGTTATTAAACCGTGTAAGTAGTGTGTGCCCGGAGTTGACCTAGTTTTCCTTTAAGCACTCTGGGAAGCAGGGGAAAGAACAGTCTAGAAAGGGTTTACTTAGTGTTTTTATGTGAAATCAAGTTAGGTTCTAAACACGGATATTTATAAACAGAGCTCTGATCCACATGAATGTGTGGCAAGACATTAAAAACGTTAGGGTGTGTGACAGCTCTTTATTATGTGGGGGGACTGTGCTGTGCATCATAGTATATGTCATCTCTAGTTCTAGTGAACTAAATGCCATTAGCACCAACCAGTCTTCGCTAAAACTAAAAATGCCCCAACACTACCTCCCCTATCCAAAATATCACCTGGGGTGGTCCTGTCCCTGCTGGGCATTGCTGCTCTAGCCCATGCGAAATGAAGGTACCTCTCACCCCTTTCTGGGGCTGTTCCTTATTTTTTTTACACATTCACCACTGGAGATAGAAGTTGGATATTTGCTTTTCCCATACTTCCCCAGATCTGCGTCTACACACAACACATCTGTTACCCCTGTGAGAAACTAGCAGGTTATAATCGACCCTTCTTTAGCTTGTGGAGTGGTTGTGGTAGGTTCAAGATCGGTCTAAGGAGCTTTGGGAGTTTCCATCCTGAAAGTTGGTGACTAAAGAGTCACCTGTGTCAGAGCTCCACCTGCCAATGTGTGGGGTTCCACTGATTAGAGCAGAACACTGTTAAACAAAAACAAAACAGAAAACTACAGCCTGATGAGAACACTGGCCTCATCATTTGTATGATAAGATTACATGTTTTTTCTCCTCTCTGGGCTGTTTAGTGACCATAAAAGATGGTTTAATAACGTACAGTTTACTAAAGGCTTTTTCATTCATTTATAGCACACTACTATACTTCGATTGGAAGTGAGAAAAGCAATTGATTTAAATAAAAAGGGACATGATTATTTAGAATAGTTTTTAAATCATGGAACTCAATTTGGATGAGAAGTATCTTGATAGAGTTCTGTTAAAAGGAACTATAGAAATAAAGGCACATTCTTTCTTTATC